CAGTCAAGATGAGCTTGGGAAATACTTTTTATCACATCTCTTCTCTATGGGCTCCTGAACTGTCCTGCTTACATTTCCCTTTAGAGAAAGGAAGAAAGTTACTGGAAGAATGAGAAGAAATTAAGAGTCCAAGCTGTAGTCAAGGAAGAAACATTCTTATAACTCACAGACATATAACCTGGCAATCAGAAGGGGCAAAACCACTGGTGATCGTGTTAGGATGGCTTCAGGATGTTAAGATGACAGACAGAACAAAGAGGGACTACAGAACTAATGGGCACTTTTAGATCCATAATTTCTCTTCTCTCCCTTATTGAAAGGGAAAAGTTGCAACTTAACCAGAGACATCCTTCTCCAGTGTCCTCTCCAAGGTGCCTACATCACATGCTATGCCGTGCTTAGCATTGCCACGTCATCCCCAGTGCCTTCCTATGCCTCACAATTAGGGGAAACAAAAAGCTCTCTTGTCTTTCTTCTGAGAGATGAGCTCAGCTGGCATAAAACGAAACTATTTGTCTAATGGTCTCATATTTGGAAAAAATCTCTTCAAAAAGACTGTACTGGAACTGGTGAGAGCTCCAAATACACGAAGTGACTTAATTAAAGGTGACAATTTAAACAAAACATTTTAACGGATTGTGACCTCATTGAGAATTTGTATTCTACCATTACAAAAAGTTAGCAGCAGGTGAGACCGCTATACTCCAAATCTCAAATCAAATGCAACTGTATGCTCCACTCCCAAATCAAACACAACTGTAACTGAAATCTTAGCATACAAATATTACTCTGTGAACTCTGGTTCCAGGGTGTACTCCCTTCATTTGCACTTTCAAAAAACAAAAATCAAAGCAATCAGTTCATTTCTGATGGAGAATTTGGATGCTACCTCCTGCATCAATGCATAATCCTCAGCACAGGGTTCATTAAGCTGTAATGATTCATGACTGGCTCCTCCAGCTGGGACTCAGGATGGATTCAGCCCTGAGTTGCCCTCGTTATCTAGAGGCATTTAGCTCTGGGGGGCGACAACACACAGATTGCTGTGGATAATTTCGAGGCTGACTCTGCACTGAGAAGTTAAGTGTTGACTTCAGCTGAGTTTCTGATGACACAAAATGAGTGCAGACAAGCAGGGATTTGACCCCGTGCTGTATTTTATATATTATTGGTAGGGTTTTTTTTTGTTTGTTTTTTGTTCTTGTTTTTTTTTTACCCCAAGCAATGTCTTTAATTCTTCTTGATATTGTACGGAGGAAAAAAGTTGTGGCAATAATAGGCTGTGTGCTTCCAGTGCACTTCCAGAGCAGATTCGCTCCTAGAGTCAGCTAAAGGTTAGTGCAGAGTCATCAGGGACTTCTGAAAATTAGGGGTTTTCAAAGCGTACAATTCTCATCTTGAGATGCTGTTAGCAGTCAATACCCAGGTTGAATCTTCAAATATCAGTTGGGCCTTCAACATACCTTTATGTCACACTAATAGACATTCTCAGCTGCCATCACTCCAAACAGTGACTTTTTGAACTGGTGTCCTGTTCTATCTAACAGAGAGAGAATGCAATCTTGGGAGACGTATCTGTGCTGGATTTGATGTACCCAGCGTGGATAGTAATGATAGCAGAGGTCTGATGGAATAGACAGTTGTGTGAGCTATACAAATTCATGGGCTGCCAACCCATGGCAACATGCACATCACTCCACTGGCATTACTGCTGGGACCCACACAAAGTAAACTGAGTGCTGCTAAATCAACCTACTTGTGTGACACTTATATGTTAGTATATCTGCACATGAAATCAGAGAACTGGAATGGTAACCAGAGGAAGGAGAATAGAAGCAATTTAATTGCCATTCTCACAGCAGAAGAACGGGGAAATCATCGAATGAAAACTAAGTTAAAGAATTAAGCAAACAAAGATAAACACTTTAACATACACTTAGCCAAAATAATAACAATAATTAAAAAAAAAAATCTTCAAAAGCCAATAAAAAAAGATGTAAACACTGGCCCCAAAGTGCATACAATACCATTACCTAAAGATGAAAAGTCACACCAACGGAAATCTCTCTACATGAGATGTGGGTGGGCAACCCCCATGTGAGCAATGCTACCTACTGCAAACTGTCAGGATACAAGGAGCACTTGTACTCTTGGTTCCCTCAGAGTGTGCCAGCAGACCGAAAGGAGCCACTCGGCCTCCCAGCTGCCCAGGTCACCAGTGTTTTACTGCTGTCACCACAGCCATGGCCACGTGGTGCAACTCAGGGCTCTGCAGAGCTACATGAGCAGCTCAGAGCTGGCTGCATCTGAAGCCCATATGTAGAGACATTTTGTCTGCAGCAGAGGTGAGTCATGTCTTAGGGCAGCCTTGGGTCTCTCCTTCCCACACACTGGGGCACTGACATTTTGAGAACTCAGCCTCCTAAGGTAAGGGTGAAACGTTCTTGCTAACAAGCCAGCTCATCTCCATCAGGCTGAGACCAAGTGGTGCCATTCAGCTAGGAGCATCCAGCAGAGACCACTGCATCAGCACTGTCCTCAGCAGCTTAGCAGAAAGACTAGGGAAATAGGAATTCCCTGCTTTCCATTTCTCCCACCTAACAAAAGTGGGGCTATGCATCAGACCCCTTCCACACGCCTGATCATTGGGCACATTTCTCTGGCAAAAAAAATATTCCCTCAAAGCCTTCAATAAAACAAACAAATCAGAAAGCCACAAAACACTGAGGTTTTGATCAGAAAACATTACATTTCCCACATACATAGAAATATACACAAATCCTACTACTTACTAGTCCCTTTCTGCTAATAGGAGCTCCAGAAGACTTCTTCCAACCTCACTTACTTCTCAGCCTGCAAAGAAATAAAGACCTTGATTGATGATCACAGGCAGATGTGGTGAAAGCATCCCAATCAGAGGCACAACACTGCTGCCTGAGTAATGGATTTGCCACCCCCGTGGGAGGCAATGCTGAGCTTGCTGTTCTGGTGGGCAAAATCCTGCACCATCAAATGTACACAAACAGCTGAAAGCACACATTATGTGCCAAGAAAAAAAAAAACCAAACACATAAACTCAAAATCCCTCCCTAGCCTTGTCTGTCCTCCTGTTAACATCCCGGAGTCAGTGTTAGCCTGTTGCAGTCATTTGTTTTAAGGTTGTGCTTGGCTTGACAAGGAGTCTAGACAGAAGAGTGCTCCATTCATCTGACAAATGCCTATTGCTCTTCTCTGCACTGAGTGAATCTTAGAGGAGTCAGTGCCTTGAAGGCAGAGCTCAGCCCTGCAGAAAAGCCAGATGAGGACTGTAGGACAACCAAGGAAAGGTCCTGGTTGACTGTGACAGATGTCTGGAAGCAGGGAGGAAGGTGCACATCTTCCTCTGGAGGAGAGCAGAGACCTTTCAGTGAGCCATGACTACAAATCCTGTTTCCTAATTGAGAGTAGAAGGAGCAGTGGATAAGCTGCCAAGGCCAGTGTAAATGAAGAAGGATTGCTTTTTCAGGCTATAGATCAGAAGTTAGGACATTGCTTTATGCAGATCTTTGCCCTTACACATATCTCTGTGTAAAAGGAGAACTGCCCGAGTCTGGACCCCAGTGGGACCCAAGCTGGGTCTCTGATGCTTGCACAAATCAGCAGCAACAGCTGAATTTTATGAATGTATATTCCAAGATGCTGTAATTGTCACCTCCCAGCTGTTCTTTGCCACCTAAAGGCACCTAGTGCATCCTCTTTGGCACATGCAGCCATAAAGCAGTCACTGGGTGCCTACTTTCTTGTACTCACTGCAATAGCTTCAAACAGCTTCTGAGCCAACACAGACTCTTTCAGGGATCACCATGGATTCTGGACCCGTGTTTGTCATGCACATTTGAGAAACAGGAGCAGCCCACCTGATAGAACGGTCCCGCTTTGCTTCCAACCTCCTAACACTGATACAGCAGAGCTTAAAGCAGCAGTAATCAGCTATGGAGTCACAGAAAGACAGGCAGGCCCAGCTCATTTTAGATAAGGCAGCTGTGAAAAAATGACAGCATGATGGACAGCTGCACGAGAAGAACTCCCTGTGCTGTTAAGGTCTTACAAAATGAGGCAACTTCCCATCCAGTGCTCTTGGTGAACTCGAGAGCTTCAGCTGTGAGCTTTTCTCAGATGATGCCTTCCAGGTGGGCTCCTTCTCCCAGGGAACTGAAACAGCAGAAGGGGAATGAAAAGCAGTGAGGGATGTGACTATTTTGGGATAGAGAGCTCTGGAAGCAAGGACAAACATGCCAGTGAGTTTGGGTATTGTTGTAGCACCCATTCTCTGTCCACTCGCCCCAGTTCTCCATGTTATGCATACATGTCCATGCAATTGTCTTCCAACGGCCAAAAATCTGATTCCAAGGGCCAATGCTGCCAGTCCAAGGGTGCACCATGCAGGCTGGCTCCTCTTGCTGCAGAAGAAGGGCCGTTTGCCCATCCATTTTCTATGCGGGGAGATCAAAATTTTTGGCTGCAGCTCTGAAAGCTCCTCTGCCGATTAAATATTTATTATGACATGTTGCCTAGCAATGACCAGATTGCCCTGAACATGCAGGAGATAAAATATACTACAGGGTGCAGGAAGCAGGGAGAAACAGTGGAAAAATAACTCCAAACAGCCACTGATTCTGTTGGGTTTTGGGACTATTTACTAGCAAGAGATGAAAAATAGATTTTGCTCAGTAAAGTGTTGGATTGGTCTGACTAATTTCACCAGCTAGGTGAAAGGCTTACAGGGATAAAAGCAGACAGTCGGGAAAGCAGTTGGCTGTTATATAGCAAAAAGGGTTATTTTTGTCACTGCTTGGTGATGTGTGTCCGGACGCCACGGTGCTGTGGTGTTGTCTTCCCTCTTGTTGTCAATGTGCCAGAGCTAATTAAAGTGAGCTGGGCCTATCCGTGGAGTGGGATTTACTGAAACAAACTAATCAGGGAGGCAAAAATAGCCGTGAATTTCTGCCGTTCTGAGGGAATCTGTCGGCTTGGAAAGAGGACGGCAGGGAGAGCCGACATCAGATGTCTGTTCTGGCATCTGATGCTCCTCATCCACCCTGCTGCATATTCTGAGCACTTTCAGGATTAATTTTTTTTGTTATTGTTTTTCACCCCCAAGATTGAATCCCGTTTCCAATGAGCTGAACCAACAGGTGAGAGCTGTAGCGTTTCTGAAGGGCACCCGCTTTAGGAAAGCAGTCAGTATGTCTGCCTTGTGATGGTAGTCAGTATAAAAGAGAGGGAGAAAGGGGAAAGAGAGAAGTTCTTTTTCTGTGAAAAGAGATCATCTTGCGACTTCATTTGCGGTGTTTGTTTGCTGGAGCCTTTGCAGAGGCCAGCTGTTAATAGATGGGCTGCATGAGCCTTCTCATTCAATTTATCACCAGGCTTGCACAAAGCATTTCTGCTGCTTTTGTGGAGGCACAGTCAATCTAACTACCTCACATGTCTGGAGAAGCCCTGATTGCTTTAGCATCCATTGCTCAGTTTTATTCTTAGAATAAACCCGTGGGGAAGGGATTGTTGTTTGCTCCATTTTACAGCTTCATAGACCATTGTCCAGGTTGGAACATCTCATTGCTACTGCTGAAAGCAGCCCAGTTCTTTGTAAGTGGCCGCTGTGCCTGTGATGTCCCCAAGATGTCACCAGGACCTGGCCCTGTTGCAAAGAGCTGGAGACTTACATGAGCTTATTGCTTATGTTAACCTCTTGGGAAACTGTTTGCAAATTAACGCGTGCCTAATATCAGCTCTGAGCTGGGTGGCTGAGGCAGAGGGGCTGAAGTCCTCAAATGTAATGAGGTGCTTCCTTTCACCTAACATTTTTGAGGACCTAGGTGCTTTGTTCAGCGATCCTAAAGAACCAGAGCTCCTGGGTCAGAGATGCAGCACTGAGCTGCTCTTTTTCAAAGAGGAGCTCCTCAAGGATTTTGTCACAAAGCCTCTCACAATCCTGAGGGATTCCATCCACACAGGGGCCACCACAGCCTCAAGTTTTGTTTTTTTCAAGCCATTGGGAATATAATTTCAAAGTCTTCCCAGAGGCTACTGCAATGGGACTTAGGATATGGTTAAAACCCAGTCCCAGGAAGATATTGATAAACAGGGGGGAGCTCACAGAAGGGGAATGAAAAATATCCCAGTCTGGAGGCTGTGATTTATGGTGATGCATGTGGTAGAGCTACCTATGTTGCTTAAATGATGACTGAACAGGTGCTAATGGCAAGTCTGTTTGAAAAAAGAAGAGTAAACCACCAAGGACTAAAAGTGGGTGCTTCAGGTGGGTGCATGGCAGTGAGCTGAGGAATGGTCTGCAGATGAATCAATTGTGTGAGTTAACTAGAGTTTAAAGCCAGAATTTAACAACCAGACTGGGAAAAACAGACAGGCTAAACACACACACAGAAACGCTCCAAAACCAAATGGAAAAAAAAAAAAAAAATCAAAAGAAAATAACCTCCCCTAGCTGTATGGAAGGGCTGGTTGTGACCAGCCCAGGAGCAGTGCTGTGGAATGAGGCCAGTGGTTTCTCCCCACACATCTCAGCACACCCATGGGCTCTGGTCCCAGCAGGATGCTTCAAGCGTTTTGTCGACAGCTTGAATTTCTGCACCACTCTTGCTTTTTCAGCTTCGTCATTTTGACAGGCCAATTCTCTGACATTTTCTCCTCTGCTGGCTTTGCGAGGCAGAGGCGACGTGCATTAGCTGAGCTCCTAGCACTGTCCTTTCCCAGGCACCAGCCGTGGCTGAGGCAACGTTTGCCAACCTTGCAGCTTTTTCCCCCAGATTCTTTTTTTCAGAGTGGTTTGGAAGGCCCTTGGGGATGTTCACTCAGCTATTTGCGTGCTGGAAAGAAATCCATTTTTCTCCAAGGTGGGTGACCGCTGTGGGTCTGTATGAAGCCATCGTGCTCCTACTCTTGTAGGAGTTTCATGGACAAGGTTATTGTGTCCCCTCCCAACTCTCACTGACAGTCAGCATGAGGGAACTAATTGCCTGCCTTTAATAGATAAACCAAGGGCTGCTTAACCTCTGATGACTGAGTGGGTCTGAGAAATGAATCGACCAATCTTTAACACAAGGAATCAGATGGTCAGAAGAGGCAGGATGGGATGGCAGGTCTGTTCAACTGCTAAAATTAAAGGGTCCAGGATGTGGCTTTTAAGAGAGTCCAAATAAAAGGCTGCCCATCAGCACAGGAGTTCAGGGATGGGTGATGACATACTTGTGTCGGGAGCTGGACACATCAACAGGGAGACCATGGCTGGGAAATGCCTCCCTCGGCACGGAACCAGATGATGCTGAGTCAAATCCATGCCCTGCAGTCGATTTCAGCCCATACTGCTGCTGTTATCAGCAGTTGGAAGAGGGAGATGCAGGGAGTGGAGGAAGCACCTCTCCCCTGGGCTCAGTGCCTGGCGTTCCCAGTGATTTGCTGGATGCCCTTGGAAAAGCCAATTAAGGTTTTGTTGCCTCGGATTTCTCAGCTGTACAATCCAGACCTGTTCGCAGGCATAATTAACCCATAGTCTGACCACAGTTTCAGGCATGTGGTTTGTAAGGGGATGGCATGATTATTTCAAAAACCGGGTATTGAGAGTATTAATAGATTTTTAAGGCTTAAAGCAATGACTGTGCTAATTTATTTATACAGCATTTGTTAACAAGATTGCAGAATCTCTTCCAGCAATATCTACACTGCAGGCATGCCTGCAAGTCCTCTCTGTGCAGTAGCATACCCTCCAGAAGATGTTAAGTCTTGATTTAAAGATCCCAGGCGACAGAGACTTCATCACATCTGCAGGTCAGCTGCTGAAAGCTTATTTTCCTGCGTTGCTGAAGTATGCCATATTGCTAGTCTGGGTGTATCCAGGATCAGTTCCCACTGCACGAAGATTAAAGAGCCATAAATGTGAGCAATCTCTAACCCAAGTAGGGAGCTGCAGACTGTGACTGAGTGAGCTTTTTGCATGCAATGTGGATAAACTGGATAGATTAGGGCTTAATCCTCTCGGAACAAAGCAGGTTTTCAGAATCATAGGTAATTCCTAGAACCCTCATCTGAAGCCTTCCAGATTTTTCCAACCTCTTTTTTAGATGCCTAAAGCAAAGAAAATATCAAAGACAAACTCAGTGACCTTGTACGTAGGTGTAGTACCTCCATACCACCACCTACCTCCTTCCTCTCTCATTCGTGGTTCAGTATTTGTGCTCGTAACTACAGCCTTGTGCTACAATCTGTCTTTGGCAGTGCCCTATTTCTACTCCAACACAGTTTCTGGGCAATCTCAAAGTACCTGTTTATAATGTGATCAGTGTTTAGACACAAGTGTAGGGCGAGTAACTGATATTTTGATTTAAAATAAACTATAGAGCGCCCAGTAGTCTGCCTGTGTCTGCGAGGTGGAGGCCAATCCACAGCCGGAGTTTTTCAGGCTGAGACATTCAAGCACGCCCTGGATGGAGCCTGCTGGATCACACCAAACCTGGCATAAACTGACAGTGCAAACCTCCAAGGAGCATCCCTCTGCAGATGAGATGTCCGTAGGGAGGAAGACAGAAATTAGGATGAGAAATGCAAAGTAAATGCAGAACAAAGTAAACGAAGAATGTTTTGAGGAAAAAGGTCTGCGGGAAGGGAGTGGGACTCGACAGGCAGGAAAAGGGGATTTCCGCCCTAAACAGAAGGAAAGCTGCGCCAAGAAGCAAAAAAGCCAGGATCTGCTTTACTAAAAACAGATAAATAAGATACAAGAGAGCAGTAAGGAAGAAAAGAAACCAGGAAATAGAAAATTCTGTTTGAATTAAAACTAACATTGGCTAATTTCAATTAATTAATTCAAGTTAAGAACTCATTTTTTCTTGTAACATGGAATTATTCTGCTAAGTGGAATGGACAGGTAGATGAAGAGAAAAACACCTTAGCATGAACTGAGCAGGAGATGTCAGAGGAATAGGTCGGAGGTTATACCAAAGAAATACTAGAATGTTGGAAAGAATAAAGGGACAATTTGGGGAATGGGGAAGTAGTCAAGGATGTACACATCTGTATGGTGAGAAAACCAGCACTCCTGCTTCGTCACAGCACTGCAGCAACAGCAGAAGGGCTCTTACAAAATCCATCCTGCACAGCAAAGCTCTTGACTCAAATGGAGACAAACCTCTGTGAGACTCTTAATGGCAGCAGTTCTCCACTGGGACATGGAGGGGCCACTGAGCATCACTTCTCATTGCCATGGACAAGGGTCTGATGTTCAGTTTTACCTCCCTTGTCATCTGCTGCTGAATGGGAAGAGAAAGCCTCCCTCCTTCCCTTCTGCATCAATATAGTGATGGAGAACAAAGCTTCCCCTAAGTGAAAATGTAAGCTTAGCTATGTGATTGGTTACAAGGCATGTTTGCAGCCTGCGGGGACGCTCGGGAGCACACTGATTGGCTGTGCTTAATAGCAGCGACAAAAATCCTTACCCTGCCCAAAGCTGCATTAAAACCTTCCCAGCACAAAGGGCCGGCAGTGAGCGGGGCTGGCGGCTTCTCCCAGGGGCACGCAGATTGTGCTGGGCTGTGTTTACAATGCAAGCAGGTTTTATGCTACTTTGGGCTCAGCAGGATCTCGCCGAGATAATAAAACCTCCTTTCTTTTTTTCCTGGAAAGGGCAAAACTCTGAAGTCAAAAGATTAACGCCAATGCGGCTCTCAAGCTGCTCGCCAGGGCAGAGCAACCTTCCTGGAGAGCTCAGCTCTGAATGGAGCTGCTATGGCTTTATTTATTTATTTATTTCTGTTTTAGAAAACATCTTTATTTTGATATTCCCATGCATCAAATACAGTGCTGGGGATATCAAGCAATACAACGCTGAGGAGATAAAGCAATCCCAGAGCAGGGCTTATTGCGATACCACACCCATTGAGTGCTTCATCCCAGTTCATCACCCTGAGCCATTCTCCCTACGCAAAGGCACCCAATTAGATTTCAGGATGAAAATCTATCCATTAAATAACTTTCCTACGGGGAAAATTGCTGTCTACATGACATGACGTGTCTTTCCAGGAGGAGATGTCCATTAGAGCTAATTGTGCTGGTGGCTTTGGTAATGCAGACAGTGGTTGGTTTGGTGTCGGACAGGCAGACTAATCCTATTTCCACTCATTCTACTGAACAGATAGTGAATGTTAATTACTTTAGTTACTAATTTTCCAGACCATGTTGTAACCCATTATCCAGGGGTGAAAAGATTTGTAGCCCATTATCACGTCCCTCACATCAACTAATGACTCCAAAAATAAACACGTTTAAAGGTGTTGAAATTAACAGTGATTTCTATGTGTTTTTGTGACAACTGTATTTTTGGCACATGCTCTCTAAAGCCTCAGTATTTTACTGCAGAACATGTGTAAGGTTGGGAAAGCTACTTATTAGATAGACTTGGGATACGAAGAATGCTTTTTTGGCACTGGCCCATTTTATGTCCACTTGGATTTTAAGTAAAGACTGAGCGACTCTGATGTGAGTAGAAGAGGGCAAGTAAATGGAAGAAAATGTAATTGGAGAAAAGGAACTTTCTGAGACTCAATGTGGGCTGTAAGGAGAACTGACACATTTCCTCAGAATGACTTCTTCCAAGAAGCCTGCAGTCAAGCAGCTGGGGGTGGCCAGTCTACCCAAAACTTCAATATCTCATTAGAAAGCTACAGATTTGACTATGGAAACCAAATTCTTCTCATAACTTGTGATTTGGGACTGGAAATGTTGGTTTGTTATCTAATAATGTAAAAAAATCACATTGTCATAGAATCATAGAATGGCTTACATTGGCAGGGACCTCTAGCTCCAAGCCCCTGATGAGGGCAGGGTCACCAGCGACTAAACGAGGCACAAGATCAGTGCTCACCATTCCAGTCCAGTTTCCATTCATTTGTGCTCACCCATCTTAAAGTGTAATAGGAACTTTTTTGAGGTCTTTTCTTTTTTAAAAATTGTATCTGAATCAACGTACTGAACCTTCAGAACATTTTTTGATGAGAAGCAGACAGGTGAGAGGGAGAAATCACAGGCATTTGAATAGATGTCTTATAAAAGACAAGAACTAACCTGAAAGTTCAGGAGATGCTGAAACAGATGGTTTCCTCAGAGGTAATCTATTTTCTGAAATTGGTGTTGCTGTATGTACATAAACATTTCCTATGGAGAACACTCCTTGTCTTTGGATAAAAGGCACCTGCCTTCCATGCAGCCGGTACCTGAACAAAGGAGAAAAGAGAGGGAAAAAAATAATAATAATCAGGTTGCATTTTTCAAGTCTTTGTTGCAAAAAGGATGTGGAGAGGGTGAATACTCCTAATTATTATCTGAGAAGCATTCACAGCTACTAGCTTTGGGGAAGCCTGTGGCAGGTTAAGAGAACACATCAGCAAGTGCACACGAATGAAGAGGTACCTGCTCAAAGAAAAACAATGCATAAAACATCCTGTTTATGCAAATGTATGATGATGACATTGCCAGGCGCTGATTAGGAAGTAAATCTGATTTTCTCAGGGCTCTTTTTACCAACAATGTACTGGTTTTTAAGGCATCCAGTAGCTGTAACGGTGGCTCAATGCTCCTTATTTATCTGTCCTCTGAGGTGAGGTAGAGCTCAGAGATAAGCAGGGGAGGGAAGGATCCTGCTTTGGGCTGCCCTACAGGGGCAGAGGCATTAGGGAATGGAAGGAACCCTCCACTGCTAGCAGCGAATGTGGTTGCTGATCCTAAGAAGCATCACAGTCCTCCTTCAACAGCTTTCATTGCTGGGAAGATTTTTCTGATAAACAGCAGCCATTAGCACATGCAAGTGCCTATTGAAAGCCCATCTCATCTTGGCATTCATGACCTGCGGAGATGGGTTCCTAGCTCTACAAACTGGCAACAGATCACATTAGCAGATGGCCTTAAGTACATGCATGCCAGCCCTCATTATGTGCCTCTCTCTCTATTTTTTTCTTCCTTTAAGAGCCATGTGGCAGCATCTCCCATGCCTGGGATGGCAGCGATACACCTTGGTTACACAAGAAAAGGGCCGTTTCCATTTGCAATGCATTCTGAAGTCCTCACCCTCAGAAGGCACAGAGCATCTGTCTGCTTTGAGGGAACAGCTGTGCATCCATTTTGGATAGCTTGGGGTGGGGCTACCGGCGGTCTGCACAAAACAAAGCTACCAGGATCTGTGTTTCTCAGCAGACTCTCAGCCTTGGAAGATATTCCCTCAAACACTGCTGGGGATGCGTTGCTCCTGCTGCCTCCTGGGTCAGTCGTGGAAGCTCTTCCAGGTCTTACCCACAGGATGTTGGTATCAGGGCACCTCCCAGACCGTGGCACAATGGTTTTGAGACTTCTAACTTGGTTTGCTTAACTTCAGGTCTGTGTCATTCACCCGACGCACAGAGCCTTGCCCTTTTGCCTTCCTGAGGATCACTGTGACTCTGCTGTCTCCCTGCTCGTGCCAACCTCAGTATTTTTCCTAAGATAAATGTAAGCCATGTACCTGTCTGTCAGTCACTTCTTCAGGGATACTGAATCTATGAAAAAGAAAAACCCGACCTTAAATGACATATCATACTAAACTGTCTCATTACTTCCAAAGTGAGATGAAATGCCTTCTCTCTACGTATTATTTTTTACCCTATGTCTCGGTAATACTCTTCATTCGTGGAAATGGTTTTCAGACTGGAAGATTATAGACTGGTCAGAACCAAAGAAAAGGAGAGAAAGATTTACTCCAATCATGTCAAAGGGACCTCAGTGAATATTAACTGATAAAGTACACACCGATCGCAGCACACCCTCATCGCTCGCCTGTGCATTTATCCCACTTGATGAATGGGAGCAGTTTATAGAACAGGCAGAAATTGATACGGAAGAGGTTTCTATCTGGAATGCACTGTATAAATTACTGGATGCTTATCTGTGAGTAATTCGCCTGCATATGCTAACTGTCCAGACACTTGCAGCCTATGGCAAAGACATTAGATAACCTTCGATTCTCAATTGCTGGGGGCAATCTCCATACTAAATAAATAGTTCATCTGTTTTGGACACAAATGATGCATCTGTTTGCAAGCATCACAAATTCTGGTCTAGAAATGGATACTTACACTATACATTATTTTTTTTTTAAGCTGTCTTTCCTTCCTTTGTGCCTGCAATTGGTGGCTGCACTTGATGTAATTTAGCAGCCCGCTACTCATGCCTTGCCTGTTTTATCCAGTGGGTTTCTGATGCGCCTGTCTGGGTGCCTGTCAGGTGGATGGACAGTTGAAGACATGATTTTTTTATCTTGCTCCTTCTTGCTATATGTGCCCTGCTGAGGGGACAAAATACTCTTGCTCATGTATTTGCCTGCAGTTAGGCAACTTTGCCTATAGCTCTTTGCTGCTGCAGACCTATGTGCTGCTCTGAAAAGGAAATTTTTTTTCTACTGAGCTCTGCAGGCTCGAGACTGGAATTCACCTGAGCAAGAAGTGAGGCTAGGATGAAAATTAAGCACAAGGGTGTAAAGAAAAGTGTTTCCCATTGCTCAGACAGGTGAATGACAAATATCACTCTCTTTCCAAAATAACTCCCACTCCCCAGCTTAATGCAGACATTGCATAGTGTTTGTTTGGCACAAGCTGGGTTTATAGCTCTATTTTCTAGAAATAAAATCGCTGTCTGCCTGAAAGCCAAAGCAGCTTTTGCTTTCCAAAGGAATTACATTGGCGCTCACAACCCATCTCAGTCTGGTGCCAACTGAGTGCAAATGAACCAGGACAAAATTGGGTGCATGGAGAGAAACCTCAGGGCTGCCTAAAGGCTCCAGGCAACTTGCAGATCAAAACCAGATGGTCTGGTGGTGCTGCTTCAAGCCCCCAGCCAGAGATGCCTGTTTTGTGACCACCCAGCTCCTGAGCCAGGGAAATTTCAGGAGCAAGCTCAGCAGAAGAGTCCACACCAGTCTCCTTGCCATGGAATGCACTGGAAAGTATTATTAAAACATAGGTGTAAGACAATGGCCAGCCAGCAGTATTTTTTCTGCCTAGCAAGTGGTGCTGATAAGTGCAAATTCCCTTGGAAGTTATCAGAGAAGCCGGCTGTGTTTGTTCGCTGGATTTGTATTTCTCAGCTGAAAGAGGTGCTGATCCCATGTCTCATTCTTGGCACTGCCAACATCCCTGGCAGAAAGCTGTGCTCAAAGCTGCCTGCTGGGAAATACTCCATTAATCAAGTGCTGACAGACCTCCTCGCTACCTCTTCCCATGACGGTCACACGTGTCATTTTTGCTCTGGAAAGTCATTCCTTGCAATGCTGTGTGGCACAAGAGCATCACCACGTGAGCATCACCAGCATGCCCACTGAACCATAGGGCAAAGGGACATCTCAGTGCCACATCTCCACAGTTCTTGAACATCTCCAGGGATGGTGACTTCACCACCTCCCTGGGCAGCTGTGCCACTGCATCACCACCCTTTCTGAGAAGAAATTTTTCCTAATATCCAATCTGAATTCATCTGTCAGCCGCCAGCTACTCACTCCACAGACCCAGTCAGTGCCACATCAACCCTTGCAGTATTGCATGACTGGGACCTGGGTTGGACAAGCCCTTCTTTGCATGCATCCATCGTGATTTGCACACATTTCTTAAGATGCGTGAGTCCAGGCAGCATCCAGTGCAGAAAGAAACTGAGAGCAAGTTTCCATCTCCATCTCAGCAACACATCTGTCTCAAAGGAGAGATTGTCCAGATGCTATTTCTGCCTCCTCACAGCTTGTTGCAGCAAGGACTCCCCCACTACCTTTCCCAGAGGACAACAGAGTTGCCTTCACGGTTTTCTAAATTTGGCTTTAATGAGTGCAAAATAAATAAGGTAGCAGGGGAACATAATCTGGTTAACAGAGCAGCAGCAGAAAGCGCAAGCTGTTGGCATACGGCGATGGATTCTGATTTCCTGCAACGAATCCATAGGAGCATCACAAGGCCTCAAACAGAAACCTCAGTGGTTTGGTGGGGATATGGCTGGGCGTGAACCAGGCAGGTAGTCCTTAGTGATGACAGCAGAGCCGTGTTTGCCTTGGGCAAACACACATGCCTGCTGAGTTTGCTGTTCAGATGCTGTTTATGAAGAGAGAAATAGCACAGCCTGGAATACATAAAGGTCTGTACAAAATCACCCACTCGTTGGGACTTGCAGATGCACTTCAGTGCTAACATCCATCCTCTGGCTATTCCTGCTATTGCTGACACTCTCACTCTGCCTGTGGATCTCCTTTCTCCTCCAGCCCTGGAGCACCAAGTTCTGCTCATCCATCCGAGTTTGAACCACTATCGTGCACTGCACCACCGAAGCACCCCAACCTTGGACCAGACCTGATTCTGAGTCTCATGGAATGTGAGCCCCAAATACTGGTGCTGTCAGATACTCAACAAACCTTGCAAACCCAAATTCCTTAGTCCAATGCTGTGAAGGAAATGCAGAGTGAATTTCCACAGGGGCTGTGTGCTCACAGCTTCCGCTGAAGGCAGTTGAGGATGCTACAATGCTCCAAATCCTTTCTTAATTAGACCAGAAATCTTATCATTTCCTAGGAGGGTTTGATATGTCCTTTACCTTTTGAAGGAATTCTGTATTTAAAAATATATCTGATAAACAGGAGCTTCTCTGAATACAGAAATAAATGGAAGGACAATGAATTCCTTTTCCTTGCAGTTCTGAGCAATTTTAGCTAGAGAAACAATGCTTGTAAATAACCCGTGACCGTTTTTATCCAAAATGATCTTCCTAGCAAATTAATCCATTATAAGACACAGAGGGCATGAACAACATGCTCAGCCAGTTTTCTTGCTCCGATTCCAACTTTTTCAGGTCTGTGACCACCCATTCACCAAAGAAGAAATAAATAAAATTATCTCTAATTTCTTACTAATTTCTATCAGCTTATTTTTAGGGAATGAAGCAGAAAATATATTTTTGTACATATTCCTATTTATAGAGGATGAACACAAACTGTCAGATTTTGGTGGGAACTGCTGGGGCAGGAAATCAGCTGCGTATAAGCGCATGGGGTGAAATGCAGGATGAAACATTCCCCTATACACAGTATGTCAGTAGGGTCATACTGAAGGCTGAGCTCACGTTTCGATGTCCTCATGGCTGTCTCATCAATGCTGTGTGTTTATTTGGCTTTTTGTGAGGAGGGTTATTCGTGGGGTGGGCATAAAGGTGCAGCAAGAGGTTGTAGTTGGGGCTTGTAGTGTTTGTAGTGTTGGGTGAGCTGGTAGGACAGGTGAATAATGGAAAGAAGGCATTACTGTGCCCATTTTATGGATGAAGAGTGGAGGCACAAGGAAACAATGGCAAGCAAAAGCCCATGAAGGACAAAGAAGTGAAACCTATTTGTCAGTTCACTGCGGTTGTGTTGCAGGGCTCACCAAGCCTTCTCAAGAATGCTCAAACCTCCAAAATTCAGCAAGAGGCTGGAAAACAGCAACTTTGTTCTCTGCATCTGCAACAAAACAGGTGGGATTTGAGGTGCTCAGAGCAAACTGGCAGGACAGTTTGGCACCGAGGAGCTGACCCCATGCACACCCAGACCCTGCTGTGGACATCAAAATGAGCAAACAGCAGCAAAGTATTTGTGAAGATTAAGATGAATGATGCTTGCATGTTTTGCTCAGTGATGTTTCTGACCTTTGCCATGAATGTTCATCTATTTGTTTGCAAGAACAACTGTGCAAAGGGAAATTCTCAGAAATATGCATTAGAGTGAAGCTTCATCACAAAAGGGCTTACGTAGCCACGCAGAGATCTCTCTGCTGTGTATAGGAGTTTCTGTCCCTTGGGAAGAGAACAGGAGTAATACGATCGAGGTAATACATTCTGCAGAGCAGAAAACAGCAACGAAAGGATGGCAACCAGCCAGGTGAGACTGAAGAGAACTCGAGGGCTGAGATGCAACACAGACTGCACTGAGGAGGGAATGTAATCATAACAAACAAGCCGGTTCATTCATGAATAATACAGGACCAAGAGACAGATCTGACTTTGTCAGATTTAAATTATTTATGGTTGGTACGAAGTGGACACCTGTTAGGGCTCATGGCAGTGCTTTAACCCAGGGCACTGAAGTTGAAACGCAAAAGACAGCGCTGCTTAACCTGAAGTATATCATCTTTGTTGCAAGCATCTTTAGGCTGTGCTTTTGCTTCATTCCATTGCTGAAATTTGCAGTAATTTCTCCATAGGCCACCAAAGAGAGCCAGGATATCCCAGGCCATTGTTTTTCCTAAAAATCCCAGCAGCTCTGTAATATACCAGAGCCACTTCTGAAAGCCACCCTGCATTCATATCTAAGTAACCCCTCTTGCTCTGCAAACGACTTGTTTTTCTCAGGGTTGTCATAGAGAGGAGGATATCGATGAGTCAGTCGGGTGCCAAGGAGCACAGCTGAGAAAGAGGCATTGCAGTGGAGTGTTCTGCTCTCTTCCTGAAAGCACACATTTTTAGCCTGTTTCTCCTGCGTTCATCTCTTTGTTCCCTCGTGCCAATTTGGATGCCGGGAAGAGGAGCATCCATCACGTTCAGAGGATGCCGTGAAAGCAGACACTCTGTAGCAGGGAAGTCAATAGGTTGTTTAGTTACACCCTGCTTCCAGAAAGACAAAACTCACTTCTACCTCTCTGAAAGAAGGAAAGGTCTCAGGTATCAGTGCATTAGATCTTGAGAATTGTCCCATCAAAACACAGAATGTGGTACAGGTTGTTACCTTTTGAGAGAAATGCCCAGTTAAATCTGCAAGGTCTTTGCTTTCTTCCTTGTAAGAGAACAGTGAAGAATGAAAGCTGTCAGTCGGTTCTGAGGCTGTTTTCACCAGATATAACCCACGGCCTTTTTTTTTTTTTCCTGATGTATTTTAGCTTTGTTTGCACTTAACTAGAAAGCCAAAAAAGAAGAGATACAAGATGAATGACACCAGGCCTGTCCAGTTCTGAGTTTTAACCATCAAAAGGCTCCTCCAGCAACAGTAGCACCAAGAGAAACCCAGGTCAGTGGCTATCATGTGGATCGAGAGCTGCCTATATGCTCCATCTCTTCCAGAAGGTGCAAATGCAGCTTTAATCCCAATACCCAGAGCAACTTCATCCTTTTAGGCATCTCTAACAATTACTCCATTCACAAGGGAACAGTTTTGACTACAGCAATGTATTAACTAAATGAATACACTCACTGATGTGCCCTTTTATCATCTCAAGTTCCCACTGTCCCATGACCTGCTGTACTCCAACCACACTTCAAATCTCTGTTTTCTTCTTCCCTGGCTGCCAAGCACCTTCATATTCCCATTTGCAGTTTTGCATAAAGGATGCCAGTACAAAAACAAATAAGCATGCGTTGTGCAGCCGCCTTTTGCTGAACATAATCCCCACAAGGCTGCTGGTTGACTTGTTCCTAAAGCAATATCAGTGTGTAAATACCACTATGGCAACACGTGGCTGGTAGCTAATCCTGGTGATGTTCAAGTGCCATTTCAGGCTGGAATGTGCTCTGACTCTGGCTTCATCCAGAAACCAAGGAGTCTTTCAAACAGCTCTGCTCCTTACCAGAGGTATGTAGGAGCTGTGTGGGTGTTAGCACTGGTTGAGCACTGATTTCACTGGGGAATTAGTACATGTTCTGAATGGAGAAAATATGCTTCGTAGACCCAGAGTTAGCAAGAAAGAGCCCTCCAGGATTCCAGGCAAATGAATTCCTCAGATTGAAATAAAGAGGAAGGGCTGCAGAGAAGCTGCCACCATCCCCATTATCTGCTCACTAGTCACTTCTCACACATGCAGAGGGCTCCAGGGGCCACCCCAACCCCGGGGGCCACCCCAACCCCAGGGGGCCCACACACTCTGAACAGTCCCTGTTCTACCTGGGGCTGAATGTGCTGACACATTGCAATCCTTTGGTACACCTCAGGAGATAAAAGTCTGTGTCTCCTCCTCTCCCACCTCTCAGGAAAAGTTTTCCCATCCTGCTGTATAATGAGTCCATTTTTATTCCTTCTGGCCATCTCCCAAACATGAGACTGGTACCTCATCACAAAGGCTCAAGGCTTTTAATAAAAACCCTGAATTTCCTTCTATTTGAGGCCAGAAGGTGACTAATGAAAAAAAGAGCCTGCGAGGCAGAGGGATGCTCTGCAGCAGCCAGAGTGGATGTGCTGAGTTCATACTGGTGGCAGCCAACAAGTTCCCATTGCATAGAGTGGGGCCCCTGCAAAACCAGGGTACAGCAATGGAGCCCTTTGCAGCCTGCTCACATTGCTTCCACCCCTGCAGCAAGGCAGCAGGACATAAGCCCAGATTGAGCACTGCACTGCAGGCTCCTTGCCAGCCCCTGCCAGAGATGAGCATTTGCAAAAAGAGCAGATACAAAGCCAATTTCAAATGAATGTTGGCCTCAGACTAACAGGAAAACGAACCATTTGCTTTGATTTTTAAACATATTAGATCTTCTTTCAGAGCCTGGATCAATTGAAAAGGGGAGCTGAGCAATGGATAAGTCCTCACTTGTTCAAGAATGGGATTTCTTAAAAAAAAATCAGCAAAAGTTGCAATTTTTTGCATTTCCCTCATAGGAGCTGTGTCTGCTCCCATTCCCCAGTGAGAAGCGGGCTCAGGGTGTGCCAGAGCAGCTACCAGAGTGGTGAGAAATCACCACGCAGGACATTCCAGACATCTACAAGCAAGGGTATTTTGAAATTCAATATTTTGTTCTACTTCACAATTCCCACAGTGTAAAGCAGAAAAGACTGCTTGAAGGCAATCAAAACATTTCCTTTCAATTGAAGGCCAAAGACCTCATTTTTTTATTTTTTTTTTCATCGTGATAGAATCCAAGCTGCTGTTTTCCAAAGAAAACTCAAAATGATCCAACAAGAGACCCTCTGAGCTCATCAAGAGATTGTATGAATGAAGTACTCCTGAAATGGAGATGCTCCAATGGAGGGTCCTCCTTTTGAAGGTGGGCAATATTCTGACCAGCTCTATTTAGCAGGTTGCCTTTGTGTATCACCTGCACAACTGCAAGGCAC